GCTGTTTCCATCGCCACACTCTGCCATGTGCCACATTCAGGTCTCTTCACACTGCTGGTGTGTTGAATTTTTTGACATAGGGTGCTGGCAGATTACGGGCCTCCCATAGCTGCTGCCAGGCCCCTAATCTGCCATGGGCCCCTATATACCGCCTCCTCTCATGCTGCTGCCAAGTCCAGAGTCTCTCATGGGTCCCTGTACGGCCTCCCATTGCTGCTGTCTCCATCGCCACACTCTGCCATGTGCCACTTTCAGGTCTCCTCACACACTGCTGTTGTGTTGAATTTTTTGACATAGGGTGCTGGCAGATTACGGGCCTCCCATAGCTACTGCCAGGCCCCTAATCTGCCATGGGCCCCTATATACCGCCTCCTCATGCTGCTGCCAAGTCCAGAGTCTCTCATGGGTCCCTGTACGGCCTCCCATTGCTGCTGTTTCCATCGCCACACTCTGCCATGTGCCACATTCAGGTCTCTTCACACTGCTGGTGTGTTGAATTTTTTGACATAGGGTGCTGGCAGATTACGGGCCTCCCATAGCTGCTGCCAGGCCCCTAATCTGCCATGGGCCCCTATATACCGCCTCCTCATGCTGCTGCCAAGTCCAGAGTCTCTCATGGGTCCCTGTACGGCCTCCCATTGCTGCTGCCAGGAGGCAGCAGGGGTCGCAGCAGTGTCAGTGGAGGCAAACGGCCACGGAGTAGAGCACCAGCTCCACTGCAGCCTACCACCACGGCCAGTAGTGGTGCCGGTGTGCACGAAGGAAGTAGCAGTCAGCCAGTGAGGAGTAGAGGAGGCAAAGTTTCCTACTCTGCGGTGTGGCAATTTTTCGTCAAGCCGCCCGAGGAAGTAAACGTAGCCGTATGTCGACTATGTGGCCAGAAAGTCAAGCGTGGCCAGGGGGCCCATGTTGGGACTACAGCGTTGCGTCAGCATATGCAGCGTCGCCATTCGGTGGCCTGGGAAAACCGTGATAAAGATACGGCGGTTCTGCCTGCCCCAGCCCAGGGTTCCATTTTGTCATAGGGTGCTGGCAGATTACAGGCCTCCCATAGGTGCTGCCAGGCCCCAAATCTGCCATGGACCCCCGTACCGCCTGGTCACGCTGCTGCTGGGCCCACAGTGTGACCTGGGTCCCTGTACCGCCTCCCATTGCTCCCACTCTGCCATGTGCCACTTTCAGGTCTCCTCACACTCCTGCTGGTTTCCATTTTGTCATAGGTTGCTGTATGGCCTCCCATTGCTGCTGCCTCCACCGCCACACTGTGGCTCCAAACACTGGTTTTGGCCCCGTGACTGGCCAAATGAGTGAAGTGTGCGGTGATTCTAAGATCGACGGCACTCATCTGCATGTCATACTGAGTGACAGTATTATTTCTCTTCCCCAGCAGACTCCAAGGGCATTTAAATTAAAGGTACAGTGTTCTGCACTAATATTAAGTCTCTCTGAAGCCTAGAAACACCCTTTTTTAAGTTAAATTCACAGCGAATATATTCGACTCGAATCGAATATTGTCCACGAATTCGCCGAATCAGTCGAATCGAATTTTTCATTTCTTCGCTCATCTCTAGATACCACCAAAAGAAAGCTCTAGTTGTGTGAAAACAATGATAAAAAATTTTGTTAGGGTACAGTAGTGTTGTATGAAAGCACAATTGCCATTAAAATTGTGACAGTATTGAAAAGCTGAAAACTGGCCTGGACAGGAAGTGGGTGAATGTGCCCGGTGTTGAAGTGCCTAAAAAAAAAAAAAAAACTGTGTGCCAAGTTCACACATCACTGAGCTCAGTCGCAGAATCGTTTTCAGTGTCTGATGAGGAATTTCCCCCACGAATCATTATCACTCAATTCTGCAAGTGGTTCTGATTTACTATCGCTGTTCTCTAGCCGGTCTAAAACCGCTTTTGACCTAAAGGGACGCTTTTTGGACGCCATGGACGTTTCTCAGTTTCCAGGCAGAAAGAACAGTAAAAATGCAGGCAGGGCGCCGGACAAAGCACTCGGGACAAAATGTATGTGAAATGGTTTGATATAGCAATGGAATCCTAACAGATTACAATGTCTTGTGTATATGTCATGTTTTTACTTTTTTGAATCTCCGGCCAGTTCCACCCCCCTGCATACCGACGCTTGCAGGGAACGGAAGCTGGAAGCCGGATGCCTGCATTGACCAGTGGACATGGCTGGAGGACACAGCGGGATTGCAGGACAAGGTAAGGATCGGGGGTCTCGCAGGAGAAGCACTATAGAGATAATCCCGAGCATGGCTCGGGGTTACCGCTTTTGGTACTGTAAATGAACCCCAAGCCACACTCGGAATTACCGCTAGAAAGGTTAAGTATAATCACTGCATGATATATTTTGGCCTTAGCAATCTCTTCTGTTATTTACAGTTTCCTTCAGGACATGGTATTTTCTGGTTTCAGAATATGTTAAAGTTGAATTCCAGTCAAATTACTCCTACCTCCATTCTAAGCCTATCCTATCTACCCTGGGAAAGGAAAGATCTGTATACTTACCTATCCTGAGGACGCTCCAGTCTGGTCACATGATCGGGTCCCAGCATCGGCTTCATTGTAGAGTAGGGACAGGCGACAACAGATGCCCCATAGTAAGTCTATGGGTGATATCACCACACAGGCTCAGCAGCTCTTGTCTGCAATCTCTGAAGCTGGCTGCTGAAGAGACCAAGTGACCGGACTGGATCACCCTCAGCATAGGTATGTATAGACCTCTCTCCTTTACAGGGTTAGAGAAGGGCTTAGAATGGGGGTGGGAGTAGGTTTAGACTTCAGTGCCCGTCAGTGCTGCCTATCAGTGCCGCCTAACAGTGCCAGTCATATATGAGTGCTGCCTTTCAGTGCCCATCAGTGATGCCTGTCAATGCCCATCAGTGCCACCTACCAGTGCCTCCTCATCAGTGCCCATCAGTGCCACCTATCAGTGTCCATCAATGCAGCCTATCAGTGTCCATCAGTGCAGCCTATCAGTGTCCATCACTGCAGCCTCATTAGCGCACATCAGTGAAGGAAAAAAATTACTTATTTACAAAATGTTATAAAAAAACTAAGAAAAACTTTTTTTTTTTCAAAATTTTCAGTGGTTTTTGGTTTGTTTAGCAAAAAATAAAAAACCCAGATGTGATTAAATACCACCAAAAAATCTCTAGCTGTCTCAAAAAAATGATAAAAATTTCATATGGGTACAGTGTTGCATGACCCGCGCAATTGTCATTCAAAGTGTGACAGTGCTGAAAGCTTAAAATTTGCCTGGGCAGGAAGTGGGTATAAGTGCCCGGTAGGCAAGTGGTTAAAATAGATGTTTTTATAATATGCAAACTTTCTCTTTTTTTAGGAAATCGGTAAAGTTCTCAAAAAGATTACAGTAGCTGTTACTTAAAGTGTATGTATACCCCCATCCTCTTTTTTAATTTCCAAAAAATGTAGGTGATTTGTTGCTGTCTATGTCTCCACAGGATAGACTCTTTTCTTTGTTTTTGTGCTGGTAACCACTGAAATCAAGCCAAAAAGTGAATTGTAACCAAAACAAGAGATGAGTATTTTTAACCAAAACAAGACTTGGTGATTTGTAACCAAAACAAGACTTGGTGATTTGTAACCAAAACAAGACTTGGGGATTTGTAACCAAAACAAGACTTGGGGATTTGCAACCAAAACAAGACTTGGGGATTTGCAACAAAAACAAGACTTGGGGATTTGTTACCAAAACAAGACTTGGGGATTTGCAACCAAAACAAGACTTGAGGATTTGTTACCAAAACAAGACTTGGGATTTGTTACCAAAACAAGACTAGGGGATTTGTAACCAAAACAAGACTTGGGGATTTGTAACCAAAACAAGACTTGGGGATTTGTAACCAAAACAAGACTTGGGGATTTGTTACCAAAACAAGACTCGGGGATTTGTTACCAAAACAAGACTGGGGGATTTGTCACCAAAACAAGACTCGGGGATTTGCAACCAAAACAAGACTTGGGGATTTGTTACCAAAACAAGACTTGGGGATTTGCAACCAAAACAAGACTTGAGGATTTGTTACCAAAAAACAAGACTTGGGGATTTGTTACCAAAACAAGACTTGGGGATTTGTTACCAAAACAAGACTTGGGGATTTGCAACCAAAACAAGACTCGGGGATTCATTACCAAAACAAGACTCGGGGATTCATTACCAAAACAAGACTCGGGGATTTGTAACCAAAACAAGACTTGGGGATTTGTAACCAAAACAAGACTTGGGGATTTGTTACCAAAACAAGACTTGGGGATTTGTTACCAAAACAAGACTTGGGGATTTGTTACCAAAACAAGACTTGGGGATTTGTTACCAAAACAAGACTCTGGGATTTGTCACCAAAACAAGACTCGGGGATTTGTCACCAAAACAAGACTCAGGGATTTGTTACCAAAACAAGACTGGGGGATTTGTTACCAAAAACAAGACTCAGGGATTTGTTACCAAAACAAGAGGTAAGGGTTGAGATCGCACCTCAGTTTGTTGAGATTGTTTCTCACTTCCGGTTGCATCTATGGGTCAAGGCATGAAGGCAAATCTCTGGACATAGACACAAACCAACAAATATGAACCGGCTGAGGTTTAAACCCCTCCCTATTCTATCCAAGAATAAATACAAAGTTTGAACTATACATATACAATAAGGTTTTTGTTTTTTTAATGCTTTCACACACTATTTACAGAACTTTTACTGTACCTAGGATTCATATTTTTAATCCAACATTGTGTGACAACATTAAAACAAAAACAGATACTGCAATACTCAACTTTTTTCACTTTTTACACTCTTATTCAAATCTAATAGGACTACTTTGAGTTGTCAAACATTTTTTTTTTTTTTCAAAAATCTGATATTCTCTGCTCAAAATAAAAACCCACCATTATTGGTGAACTGCTTATTCAAACAACCCATTGGAGCCTAAGACAGTTTAGTGAGTTTTATTAAGAAATGTTAACAGTGATTGTTACCCTTTATTAATGAGTTTAAAATGATACTTAAAACAATCAATCATTTCTTGATTTCTTAAACTATAAATAAATGGATTCAAAAGAGGAGTCACAACAGTGTATAACAGAGAGGTAAACTTGCTTACCCTCTTCAATTGCTGAGAAGGAACCAAGTACGTAACACATATTGATACACAGTACATGAAAACAGACATTAGATGTGAACTGCATGTTGAGAAGGTTTTTTGTCTCCCGGACCTTGAAGAAATTCTCAAGATGGTGGAAAATATGGAGATATAGCTGACCGTGACCAAGACAAATGGGACAATGCCAAAAAAGATGGTTATGAAGATGAGTTCCATATCCATGAGAGATGTGTCTGAAGAAGACAGCTGCAGAAGTGGATCTAGGTCACAATAGAAATGGTCAATAGTGTTTGAACCACAGAACTGTAGGTGGCAGATCGTAATTATCAACACGAACATCATTGTAAAACCAGCCACCCAAGCCCAAGCCACCAGATGGTTCTGAGTGTTCTTGTTCATGATGGAAGAGTATCTCAAAGGGTTGCAAATGGCCAAATGCCTGTCATACGCCATAACAGTTAAGAGAAAAAATTCTATATTTCCTGTTGAGGATGCCAGGTAGTTTTGGATGATACAGCCATAGAATGACACAAAACCTCCATTCCACCATACAATGTACAGCATGTTAGGTATGAGTGTGGTGGTAGCAAATATTTCGCAGCCAGATAAATTACTAAGAAAGAAGTACATGGGAAAATAGAGTCTTGGACTTGTAGATATCAAGGTTATGATTAACATGTTCCCTGTTACTGTGGCCAGATAAGCAATGAGGAACAAAACAAAAATAAAAATTTTTATGTGTTGGAGATGGCCGAACCCCACAAGAAACATTTCCGTCACCGTTGTACTGTTCTGTCCACACGTGGCCTAGCAGAAAATATTACAGGCAGTTATCAATAGTATGCAGAACCCACAATGTAAAATAATTGATACACATCAATTAATGGTGAAGAATAAAAGGCTCAGCGAGCGCTCAACATAAAATAGCAGCTATGCACCAGAAAGGAAACAATAAAACCTTCAAAAAGACATAATAAAATATTTGTGCAGCGCTGGTCTGAGGGCGAGAGGTGTCGCTGAGCAGCTCCAGAATTTACTAACACGGTGCCCGGCAGAGCAGAGCTCCCCCTGGTGTCTATCCCAATATATTGAAGAGGCTGCACCCGTGTCCTTAAAGTGGACTTCTGGTTGAATCTCCACCCTGACGATATCCATTCATCCTGGGCTGACTCCAATTCCATCCTGAGAGGGATCCCCTGGCAGACCTCCATTTATTTATACACTGCGCAATACATTTGCGCATCCGGTGAGTGCGCATTTTATGCACATCCTGCCTCTCACCGAATTTTAGAAATTTATGAATTTGGGAATACTGAAGTCACCTTGAGCTCTTTATATATTTATTACGGACTGTAATTTTATGTATAAGATATACATTTGCAGGGAAAAGTATGTGAACCCCTTGAGATTACGTGGAGTTTTGCATGAATTGGGAATAAATTGTGCTCTGAACGTCATCTAAGTCACAACAATAGAAGAACACAGTCTGCTGAACATAATACTACACAAACATTAGATGTTGCCATGGTTTAATTGCACATAACATGTAAACATTCACAGTGCAGGGAGGAAAAAGTATGTGAGGCCCTAGCTTAATGACTTCTCCCAGAGCTAATTGGAGCCAGGAGTGAGCCAACCTTGACTCCAATCAGTGTGATTATATTGGATGTGTTGCTGACAGCTGTCCTGCCCTTAAAAAACACACACCTCTTTTGGGTTTACTGGTTTCAAGAAGCACTGTCTGATGTGAACCATGCCTCGCAGAAAAGAGCTCTCAGAAGACCTACAATCAAGAATTGTTGACTTGCATGAAGCTGGAAAGGGTTACAAAAGTATCTCCAAAAGCCTTGATGTTCATGTGTCCACGGTAAGACAGACTGTCTACAAATGGAGAAAGTTTAGCACTGTTGCTACTCTCCCTAGGCGTGGTCGTCCTGTAAAAATGACTGCAAGAGCACAGCGCAGAATGCTGCATGAGGTAAAGAAGAATCCCAGAGTGTCAGCTAAAGACCTACAGAAATCTCTGGCACATGCTAACATTTTTGTTGACACATCTACAATAAGGAAAACATTAAACAAGAATGGAGTACATGGGAGGACACCACAGAGGAAGCCATTGCCGTCCAAAAAGAATATTGCAGCACGTTTGAAGTTTGCAAAAGAGCACCTGGATGTTCCACAGCACTACTGGCAAAATATACTGTGGACAGATGAAACCAAGATTGAGTTGTTTGGGAAGAACACACAACACTATGTGTGGAGAAAAAAAGGCACAGCACACCAACATCAAAACCTCATCCCCACTGTGAAACATGGCGGAGGGAGCATCATGGTTTGGGGCTGCTTTGCTGCCTCAGGGCCTGGACGGATTGTTGTCATTGATGGGAAAATGAATTCCAGAGTTTATCAAGACATTTTGCAGGAAAACGTACGACCATCTGTCCGCCAACTGAAGCTCCGCAGAGGATGGGTGATGCAACAGGACAATGACCCAAAGCATACAAGTAATTCAACAAAACAATGGCTGCAACAGCATAGAATACGCCTTCTGGAGTGGCCCAGTCAGAGTCCTGACCTCAACCCCATTGAAATGCTGTGGCATGACCTTAAGAGAGCGATTCACACCAGACATCCCAAGAATATTGCTACACTGAAACAGTTTTGTGAAGAGGAGTGGTCCAAAATGACTCCAGATCGTTGTGCAGGTCTGATCTGCAACTACAGGAAATGTTTGGTTGAGGTTATTGCTGCCAAAGGTGGGTCAACCAGTTATTAAGTCCAAAGGTTCACATACTTTTTCCTCCCTGCACTGTGAATGTTTACATGTTATGTGCAATTAAACCATGGCAACATCTAATGTTTGTGTAGTATTATGTTCAGCAGACTGTGTTCTTCTATTGTGACTTAGATGACATTCAGAGCACATTTTATGTATGCCCAATTCATGCAAAACTCCACGTAATCCCAAGGGGTTCACATACTTTTTCTTGCAACTGTATGGTATATACATATCAGGACTATTTATATTTTAGCGCTGCACAAATATTTTATTATCAATTAATAGTGATAGACAAATATAATGAAGCAGGATCTTATGGGTTGAAAGAGAATGAAGCCGATGTGAAAGGTTTTGTTGTGTTTTCCACATTAGGTTGGTCATTAATAGTTACCCAAATATATCACCTTTACTCTTCCCAAATAACATTTATCCATTATTGCTGCCAGGCCATTTTAATCTCAGGTGAGCAAACAAGTTTTTTTTGCAATTTTTCATTTTACTATTTTCATTTTTCACTTCTGGAGTTTGTAAAAGACCCCCCCCCCCCCCCCCCCAAGCCATACATTTTCTGAAAGCACAGGGTTTCCTAATAAAAGAAACCTAACACACCCTCCACATCTAAGGCCAGGTAAGTTGCAATATATTACTATTTCATTTTCTTGGGTTTAGACAAACTTTAACCATTCCCTCTATATTCGGTTTTTCCATTTTCTAAGGCTACAGATAGACAGAAGGTGGCAGTATTAACCTCCCTGGAGGTTTTCCAAGTGTAGCTCGGGGTAAAGTTTCAGTGCCACAAGCGGTAACCCCCCCCGAGCTACACTCGGGAATACACTGCAGCGTTGCTCCGGGATCTCTTATGCACTTACCTTGTCCTGCGCTCCCGCGATGTCCCCCCTGCAGTGTCCCCGGCAATGTCCTCCAGCCGATGCCGACATCCGTCTTCCGGGTTCCTTTCACTGCGACATCGGGTCGTACGGGGGACGTAACCGACGGGAAATTTGAAAATGTCAAAAAGTGACATTCACTAAATACACTAAAATCACATAGTATAACATTCCTGTATCAAACCATTTCACATACATTTTGTCCCGAGTGCTTTGTCCGGCGCCCTGCCTGCATTTTTACTGTTCTTTCTGCCTGGAAACTGAGAAACGCCCATGGCGTCCAAAAAGCGTCCCTTTAGGTCAGACGCGGTTTTAGACCGGCTAGAGAACAGCGATAGTAAATCAGAACCACTTGCAGAATTGAGTGATAATGATTCGTGGGGGAAATTCCTCATCAGACACTGAAAACGATTCTGCGACTGAGCTCAGCGATGTGTGAACTTGGCGCTATATTTCACATTTCAGTGTTTTTGGTTTGATTATATTATTGAATTAAATGTATTATTATTTTTTATAATTATTTATTATATTATAATTTATGATTTTGTGTTTCAAATTTTATCCTCCCCGGGATGTTTACTAGACTCTTGTTCGGACAGATTTCAGTGAGTTATTCCTAAAAATTACAGGCCTACAATAAAAAAAACTACATATTTCCATGCAAAAAAATGTACCGCTTTGAGCACAGAAATATGAACATAATCAGACCGCTAGGGAGGCTATGGTGAAATTGTGGTTTCCAATTAGAGTCAAAGCAACAGGTTATTTTGATAGCCCGACCCCTCTTCTTCCAATACCTTCCTTTATCATGCTCCCATGCTGTCCCATAGACCCCCCAGAACACCATGAGATACTCAGTACATCTTTATACTGGTGAGAATGTTCCTCTTTCCTATTTTTTTCCCACAATGTAGCCTTCCAGCTGAGTGCAGCTACTTGGGGATGTCCTTAATCTTGTGTATGTTCTTACCCATGCCAATAAAAATCTTACAATGGCCTAATTCTCTGAACTCCAGCAGGTGAACATTTTCTCACAGCTCCAACAGGTGAATCAACAGAGACACAGGGACGTTAGTAAATAACTGCAATGGAGGGGACCATCTAGAAAGCACACCTATCCCTTTGCTCTTAACAAACCATCAATATTAACATGACTTCCGAAAAGGTTTTACCCCCTTCATGACCAAGACTTTTTTTTTATATATTCAGCACTATGCTACTTTAACTGGCAATTGCTCGGTCATGCAAAACGTAACCCATTTTTTTTCACACAAATAGAGCTTTCTTTTGGTAGCATTTGATCACCACTGAGCTTTTTTATTTTTTATGATATGCATGAAAAGAGACAGAAAATTTTGAAAAAAACCCCAATATTTTCTACTTTCGGTTATAAAACATATTCAATGAAAAACAAGCAAATTTCTTACTAACTTTAGGCCAAAATGTATTCTGTTGTATGTCTTTGGTAAAAAAAAAATTCCCAGTATATATTTTATTGTATATTAATTGGTTTATGGGAAAGTTGTAGCATCTACAAACTATGATATGTACTGGAATTTACTCAGCTATGATGCTATACTGGTAATGGTGGAGATCAGCAACTTACAGTATAGTAGGACTGTGATGGGCAATCTGGAGCTAGTTAACGCTGGTTGGGAGAGACACTAACTGACTAACCTACACTGACATCAATAGTGACACTAATACAGTGATCAGATATAATACGGTACACTGTCACTGTACTACTGACACTGGCTGGGAAGAGGTTAACATCAAGGTGCAACCAAGGGGTTAACTGTGTGCCTAACAAGTGTAA